CAATTGTTGGTAAGAATATGGAGAAACTGGAACCTCATTCACTTGTGGTGAGAAAGTAAAATGGTACAGTTGCTTTGGAAAATATTCCAGCAGTTCCTCAAAAGGGTAAAACATAGAGTACCATTATGACCCAGCAATTCTATCAGATATATACCCACCAGAAATGAAAATATATGTCAATACAAAATCTTTTACACGAATTGTTCATAGCAATATTCTCAATAGCCAAAAAGTACATACAAACCAAATATCCATCAGGAGATAATATGACATGGTATATCCATATACTGGAATATTATTCAACAATAAAAACAAATGAAATCGACTGTAGTGATGGATGTACAACTATATCCTTACACCAAAATCACTGTATACTTTAAATAAGTGAATTACATGGTATGTAAATTATATCTCAATAAAGCAGTTTAAAGAACCTGAGAATACAGATTGCCTCCAGGAGATACTTTTGTCATATCTTCTGAGTTCTCAATGGATTAGCTATTAAAAATTCAACTTTAATAAACAAGCCCCCTGCTTTTGGTTTTATTGATCTCATCTACTTATTTTTGTTTTCTCTTTTATAAATTTCAGCTTTTCTCACTTTATTTTCCCTTCTCTAATTAATATCAACCTGTTTGTTGCTTTGTTTGTCAAGTTGACAAACATGTTTATTTTCAACCTTTCACTTAAATCTAGTATTTTCCCTAGAAGTTTTCTTTTCTTTCATTTTTTTTTGAGACAGAACATTGCTCTGTCGCCCTGAATAGAGTACGGTGGCATCATCCTAGCTCACTGCAACTTCAAACACCTGGGCTCAAGGGAGCCTCCTGCCTCAGCCTCCTGGGTAGGTGGGACTAACGGTACCCGCCAAGGGAAGCCAAGGAAGGAGAATCGCTTGAGCACAGGAGTTCAAGGCTGTAGTGAGCTATGATTGTGCCGCGGCACCCCAGCCTGGGCAATAGAGTGAGGCCCTGTCTCTAAAAACAAAACAAAATAAAATAAAAATAATTTTACTTACCCACTTCTGCCTTCCAGGACCTTCTGAGTTTTGTGGAAATTATTTAGCACTGTTAGATTCACACTATTAGGTTCTCACAGGACATATCTTTTAAAATAATTTTTGAATCAAATACTTGACAATTCACATTATCATCTACTTATATTAATATTTTACTAGATTCATTGCTCATCATTGTTTCTTACATCCATCATATTCACCTAACTTGACATCTTTGTTTTGGTTTAATTTTCATTCATTCATTCATTCATTCATTTATTTATTTATGAGACAGAGTCTCACTCTCTTGCCTGGGCTAGAGTGCTGTGGCATCAGCCTAGCTCACAACAACCTCAAACTCCTGGGCTCAAGCGATCCTCCTGCCTCAGCCGCCCAGGTAGCTGGGACTACAGGCATGCACCACCGTGCCCGGCTAATTTTTTCTGTTTTTAGTTGTTTGGCTAATTTCTTTCTATATATAGTAGAGACGGGGCCTCGCTCTTGCTCAGGCTGGTCTCGAACTCCTGAGCTCAACAGGAGGATCTCTTGAGGCCAGGAGTTGGAGACCAGCCTGAAAAACACAGTGAGACCTCCTCTCTATAAAAAAATAGAAAAATCAGCCAGGCAGGCATGGTGGTGCACACCTGTGGTCCCAGCTACTTGAGAGACTGAGGCAGGAGGATTGCTTGAGCCCAGGAGTTTGAGGTTGCAGTGAGCTATGATGATGCCACTGCACTCTAGCCCAGGCAGTAGAGTGAGATCCTGTGTCAAAAACACCAATAAAAAAAAAGCACAACTCATTAAAATTTAAATAGAGTTCTCTTAGGTTTCTTTCATTAATCTGTCTTAGGCATCACCTTTTCTCATTCCCTTGGACTCCACTTTGAACTACTGTGACTCCTTAACCTTATTTGCACATGTATTTATCTAGTTTATACATACACACACATATATATATATAAATATTTTTAAGTGTACTAGTTATCTCTTTGGCAGTTAGAGAGGATCAAGAAATTTTTCCGTTGGTCTACTTTCCAATGACAGAAGTCTGTGAGAAGCAGTGAATTTTTTGTTTTAATGTTTGGCAGCATAAGGTAATGATTAAAAAAGCAACGGCTCTGGAACCAGACCACCTTACTAGTTGTGTGACCACCAGCAAGTTATTTAACCTCTCTCAGTCTCATTTTCCTCATCTATTATATGGCTAATAATAATAGTACCTTAGGTAGACGGCCTGGCACATAACCATTAGCATTATGTATTTTGGTGCTTATTAAACATTTAGAGCAGTTAAAGGTCTCCGGACCAAGGCAGAAGGTAAAAATCACAGGTCCTAAACCTACAGGAGTGAAACAATGCCACAGAAAAATCCAAATCAAAGGCTACCCAAATCTCAACTGCAGTCTAACAACAGTAATTAGGCAAGAACAAGGATGGATCATCATTACTGATAAAAGCTCAAGCGCATCAGAAACACCACCCTAATTTATACAAACTAATATAAATAAGAAGCAGAGACGATTCAAACTCTCTAAACTTGTGCTATCCAATATGGTAGCCGTTAGCTATATATAGCTATTTAAATTTAAATTAATTAAAATTTAGTTCTTCAGTAGCATTAAGCCACATCTCAAGTGCTCAGTAACCACACATGGTTAGTACCTACCTTACTGGAAAGCACCACTCTAAACAATGAGGAAATTAAGAAAGTAAAATTGAGTTATTACAAGTTGAGTTATTATTTGCTGTATCAAATGAAAACTATCAATGCACCTGTGTAACAGATGGTCCAGATCACAACTTGGACAATTTTAACCTTGGACCAGAGTCAGAAGAACAAGGTTCAAATCCCAGCTATGCCACTAACTACCAAAATAAAGTACCCTGGATGTGTCACTAAATCACATGCAGCACACTATATGGTTAAGAGTATACACAATTTCTGGACTACTTGGATTGGAATTTCATCTTTTACTAGCTGTGTGACATTGGGCAAGTTACTTCACATCTCTCATGTGTTATCTTCATTTTATAGTAGGGCCTACCACCTAGTGATGTTGAGGATTAAATTTGTTAAGATTTGTAAAAGCACTTAGAACACTGCCTGCCATTACTAAGTGCTACATAAATATCTGCTAAATAAAATAATCTCTAGCTTCTGTTTCCTTAATTTCAACATGGGCAAGATAAAATTTGCTCTATTTCACAGACTGTCATGATAATGAATATGAAAATAGTCTGTAAATTACAAGAAGATGTAAACGCACAAAAGGTTATTAGATTACAAGGGGCCAGGGCCTTATTTTCCACCTTCTTTAAACTCCCACAATATCCACTAAATTACTGTACTAATGGTGGACATTTAATAAATTTTTAAATTTTCATTAAAACTGGAGCACCACACTCCGGTCATGAAGGAATAAACCTGAATATGGTACACAGTGCAAATTCAAGGAAAAGCCTGCTATGAACTCACTCCGTCTCAAAGAGGGTGGAAATTACCTACATGGATTTGAGCTCTTAAGGAGCAATAATGCACAGCCTTTAAGGATTACAGTGGTCTCCATTTCCTAACCTCCATCACTTAAAGAAACAGATGAACAGGCTTCGTAATTTTTGGAAAGTTACCTATCTTAATTTGCAACGGACACTTTTTTTGTGAGAAATAATGTTGTTCAAGTTCACAATTAACAAGTGGTATAAACAGACTTGTCCCAAATATTCTTTCACAAACTGGAAACAGAATCACAAAACAGCAAATACCGGAGTCTCATTAAAATCTTTATAGGGAACCTTTTCCTATTTGCAAACATAACCTACAGGTGATGAAATATCAGAGCCTACTTAATGAAAATACAAACCAACACCTGATCAACTGCTCTAATGAAATTTGTGAAAAACAATGTCATCACATTAGATTAGCCAGCACATGCAAAATGGGAATTTGCTTTCTGTGAAATAAACGTCAAAGGCTGTCAGCTATGTCAGACCTTCTCCCAAGGCAAACTGGAAGCCATATAAATCCTTTTTAGAGTTTCAGGTTTTTAATGAGGTGATGGGACTGCTGAATAAGGGAAAGCAAGACAACAAAAGGAAGCAGTTCAATAACGCCCTTTTCAGGAGTCACTAGACTATCACTGCTGGCTGCTGCAACAAACATTCAGTGCTGCAACAAACATTTAGAAGACATAACTTCACTACAAGCCTTATTAGTTTATAATTATTTTGGGGGGTGGTGGGTTGAGAGGGGAGTAAGCACAGAATATTATTAAAAGGTTAGAGGTCCAAAGTCAAAGAATGTGAACTGGGTGGGATTTTAAAGTTCATCTAATTAAAAGCCCTCCTGGAGTAAGGGTTCCCAGTACCTATCCGGAGCATGGGCCACACACAACCAAAAATATGGGGTAGGGAGGGCGAAGAAATGGTTGAAAAAAGATCAGAAAGGTACAGGCCCGTCGACAGTTGCAGAGGGTTCCCCCAGGACGCCGCCAGCCCGCCAGTCCCTCCGCCCTTTTCTCTCCCCGCAACCTCGGACTCGGCAGGAGCGCGCAAGCGCAGCCACTAGGGGCTGCGCGTGGCGACGCGCAGGCGTGAAGTGGGTAGAAACAATGAGCTTTGTTGCCGAGGCGGTAGCGGGGGAAAGGGAAAGGGTACGGGCGGAGGGAGAAAGAATTGAGGCAATGGGGAACGCGAGAAAGTGCTATCCCGGCAGCCCGCGCGCGCCACCGAGGACCCGGATAGAGAGCTGCAAGATCCAAATCATAAATAATAATGACAATGAGAAAAAGCGACGGCCATTTCTCAGAGAAGAATGAGAGGAAGTCGGCCCATATTCATCCCTCTGACTTGGCGGAAAGAGACAACGAACAACGGAGGCCCTCAAGGGCTCGGTGGCCAACAACCCGGGGAACCTTTGAGGCCCTCGGCTACCGCCGAGGTGCTGTCTCTCGACCGCCGGGGCCGCCGCACCCCTGTCGCCGCTCTGCCCGAGGGGATCCCTCACCCAGTGCACGGCAGCGGGGACGGCAGCCAACGAATCCTGTCGGCCTCCGCGGATCTCTACAGGTAGCGCCGCTCCCCCGCTCGACGAGCGCTTCGCTCGCCGCCTCTCTTCTCCAGTCCAAACAAACACCCCAGCCCGGAAGTGACTTCACTTCCGTCGCCGCCAGCCCCGCCCTCTCGTTCTGTCAGCGCTGCCCTCGGAGGCCACCAGAGGGCGCAAGAGAGAACGCGCGATCCCAAAAACTTGGTCTCCCAGGCTGCACACGCGTGCATGCGCAACGGCAGGTATACCGGGAGTCCTCTGTCACGTTCTCTAAGGGGGGCAACAGTAGGGACGCTTCACTGTTCCCACACCCGCCCAAACGTCAAAAATGATGGCATGCGGTGAGTCTGGGAGCTGGAAACTGAAGATACCCTGACAAGATACACAGACATGGACTCCTACAGACTTCAAACTCATACACCAAAGAGGAACATTTAAGTAACGACATAGCCACTCATATACTCAGACATACGCGCCAAAAGTGATACACGATGTCGTACTAACAGCGACACGGAATCATAATAAACTAAGACAAATTCACAGAGGCATACTAACTGATCTACAAGCGCCTGCATTCCGACAAGTGCAGGCACACACTTTTTGAAGCAGGATCTTTGCATACAGATGCAAAATACAAATACATGATTCCCAGGCAACCTGTGGAAATTTCTTCATGGCCAAAGGAGGAAATGCCCTGTCCAGACGTGTTAGAAGGGTAAGACCTCAGGGTTCAAGAATTTCCTAGGCCATGCACTGGTCCCATACATTATTATTACTCATGCTTCCTTGCTATCATCATTGACAAGCCCCAAGATATGTTTCTAGTAATACTAAGCAAGGTAAAGAAGAGTATATGTGTTTTCAAAACCTGGATGTATGTAGAATATGTATACACTAGTATGTATACACATATTTGAAAGGTGCACACAAACTAATAATTTCTTCCCTCTGGGGAGGGAAAATAGACTGGGAGATAGATGCAAAGAATTACCTAGGGCCAGGCACGGGGGTGCGTGCCTGCAATCCCAGCTACTTGGAAAGCTGAGGTTGGAGGATGACTTGAGCCCAGGAGTTCGAATACAGCCTAGGCAATATAGCAAGACACTAGTTTTTAAAAAAATAAAATATAAAAGAATTACCTTTTTATTTTCTTGTAAAATTAGAATCTTTTAGAACTACATTTGTAATACCTACGAAGACTTAAAGATTTTTTTTTCCTTCACAGGATGGCTTCAATCGAGAAACAAGGCTACTCTTCAGGGCCATTTCATTCATCAAAGACTGCTTCGGGCCAGTCCAAAGTCCCAAAGAAAGGAACACAGGTGTTCTGGGTCAACCACTTTGGCCACACTTACAGATCTACATCCTAAACTGGGAGGAAGAGTTTGGTTTTGTTGCCTGCTATGCATACAGGTCTGGGAGAAAAGAGATGTTGCTGTTTTACCAGTCTGTGGACTATGATTCATCCAAGGGGTGCGGGTGAAGCACCTGGAAGATAAACTATCAACCCCAGAGGCTGGAAGACATATGAACAGAACAAAATAGGTGTATAATCTGTAGATGACCCAGACACTTTTTTCTGACTGGACACTCTTAAAAGATAAACCATGAGATAACCGAATTTGTTATTTAGTAACACAAACCATTTAATTGGTTATAATGATGTCAAAAATATTTGCAGAATCCTTGCTTTTCATGTGAACCAAAGGCTCATGCTGTTCTTTCCACACAAAGGAGTTAAGATCTCAATCCCCAGATCACAGTGAGCTCACCATTGCAGTTGAGAAAGTTTGACAGGCCAGTAATTCCTTGGCATTCTCTGGACACAAGAACATTCTGATTTGCAAAATGGACTTCGAGATAGTGAAGCTATACTTGGATGGTGGTGATGATGTATAAATAGAAAACAGTGTCAGAAGAGCGAAGGCTAAGAAGTTTGCTAATGGTAAGGACAGACACTGCAATGGGACCAAAAGAGAGCCAGTTTAAAAATACCAAAGAAATCTACCTGTTTGGTTCATGTAAGTAACAATCTTAAGATGGAAGTTAAGTAGGAATTAGAGGAGAGGATGGTAATGAAGGCCCAGGATGGTTGTGAGTAGACCTCCACTCTACATTACCACCTTCCTACAGACCTCTCATTCTTGTCAATATGTATAAATTGGGTATTTTCTGACCAAAACACTCCAAATATAGGAATCTACCCAAAGAAATTGGACATATGTAAGAATATTCAGAGGTGTTACAACCAATTAAATAGTAAGCTTATTAACAGGAAATTGGTAAAATGAATTGAAACTATAGTTTTTAAAAAGATGTATATTGATATAGAATGATACCCATATTGTTTTTTAAAAGAGCAGGCTACAAAACAGCATATGTAATCTTTGAAAATTATATATGTAAACATAGCCACAAGTATAAATGCTGTTTGATAGATTGATCACCAAAATGTTAATAGCAGCATTTCCAGTCACATTTCAAAGGACTATTTTTAATATATATATATATTTTTTGATCCACTATCATTCCCAAGGATTCACTGTTTTTTGTATACTTTGATTTTTTTAGAGAGAGTCTTGCTGTCACCCAGGCTAGAGTGCAGTGGTGAGATCATAGCTCACTGTAACTTCAAACTCCTGGACTCTAGTGATCCTTCCACCTCAGTCTCCCAAGTAGTTAGGATTACAGGCACACACCACCACACCTGGCTAATTTTTAAATTTTTTGTAAAGGCAGAGTCTTGCTATGTTGTCTAGGCTGGTCTCAAGCTTCTAGCCTCAAGTGATTCTCCCACCTGAGCCTCTCAAAATGCTAAGATTGTAACTATTTTTTGTGTACTTTAAAATATTGTCTACATTCTCTGAAAGCTTATCTAGCATCTATAAAAGGAACCCCTCTCCTCCCCACACACAAAGAAAAAAATCTAACATAGGTTCCTACAGCACTTTGGTAATGGCCTTGTCCCGATGCTCATATGTATCATGTGTTCACGAGGCAGAGAATGTACCTGAACACGTGTTGAGTAAGGGCCTAGCACTGTGAAGGTAACAAGCAAAGGTCCCTGCTCTGAATGAATAGGTAAGGAGCTAAAGCATTATTAAACAAACTTTTTGAATGCCTACTGTATGTCAGCACTATTCTAGGCACTAAGATACACAAGCAGTGTTTTCTCCTAGAAAAGTTTTAGTCAAATTTAAAACTAGCCTGACTTGAATCAAATTTATATAGGTTGAATAGGCAAGATGAACAGGATTTGGAAAATAAGGTGTAGATTAGGAACAGGTAAAGGTTTTTGCAAAATGATGCGTGTCTACAGATGTAACTGGAAAGGCAGAAGTAATTCCTCTTCTCCAGCCTGGGCCAAACACTTCCCTGCTGGCTTTGTGCTGCTCAGCTGTTTTTTAAAATAAGATGGGTCAGAGATGCACTTGATGTTTGTAAGCAGCAGCAGCCAAAGGGAAAATTAATTAGCAGGTATCATTGAAGTCTCACTATCCTTTATACCAATAATCATTTAAATTGCAATCCCTTTTCACAGACTCTCATAACACCACAAATTAGAAAAGAGACATTAACTGCAGCTTATCTTTTTTTTTTTTTTGAGACAGAGGCCTGCTCTGTTGCTCAGGCTAGAGTGCTGTGGCGTCCGCCTAGCTCACAGCAACCTCAAACTCCTGGGCTCAAGTGATCCTTCTGCCTCAGCCTCCTGAGTAGCTGGGATTACAGGCATGCGCCACCATGCCCGGCTAATTTTTTCTATATATTTTTAGTTGTCTGACTAATTTCTTTCTATTTTTAGTAGAGATGGGGTCTTGCTCTTGCTCAGGCTGGTCTCGAACTCCTGAGGTCAAACGATCTGCCCTCCTCAGCTTCCCAGTGCTAGGATTACAGGCGTGAGCCACCGCGCCTGGCCTGCAGCTTATCTTTAAACAAAGTGGAGAAAAAGAAAAAAAAGCCCACATAACAAGAACAGACTTGGCAGTTACCAAAGTAGCTAGAATCTAATTACCTTTGATATTTCTATCCAACTTTATGCAGAAAAAGAATTTATTTAAATCTTTCATTTAAATCGCAAAAATCAAACAGCCAATTAAGCCACCACTTGTGATGTAACAATGCTGGCAAACTTGAGCAAACTGAAACTGGTCCTGGTTCTGATATGCAAGAGCAAGGAGTGAAACTTGAAGAGCATTCTGTCCTAGTCAACGGTAGGACTCGGACTCCTGCTGCTCTTAATGTATCCCCATTTGGATCGGGTCCTTAAAACGAACTCATCAATACTACCATGCATGAAGCAGGATGTCATGGTTCAAAGAAAGGTCATTAAGACTATATCCAATGCCAGTAATTCTCAACCCAAGTATACCCTGCTGGGGTGGACAGATGTTTATTGACTTTTGTCTACTACACTCAATGGACTCCCCCTTTCCTTAAAAGCTTACACTTTTTCTCTTTCATATTCCCTACTGTACATTTGATTTTACTAAGTTCTTCACTCTGTGTGAAAATAACAAAACTTTCTAGGATTAGAATTAAAGTTCAAGGAAAGGCCAGGGTTAAAAATCTTAAGGTAAATACTTTAATGTTGACTTTGGCCCAGTACTAGTGCTTTAACTGAGCTCTAGCTAGTATCCACTATAGTGCACATCAGCAAATCAGAGCTACTGGATAGAGAGGTGACCATTTCCATTTTTCCATTTATGTTAAATTTCAACAAACTAGTTGTTAACCAAGCCTTTTCTTTATTCCCATGTTGTTTGAGAGGTGCATGGTAAAGGGGAAAAAAGAGAAATCACCTGTCCAGGCAAAATGGTATATTTTCAAGACCTCTTGGTTCTGCTCCAGTAGCCTTCCTTGAAATTTGTCTGCACCAAGTTCCCAGAAAGTTTTAAGACATGATGTTTCTACCAAAAAATAAAGGATAGACTTGGGTAAACAGTATATAGAACTCTGAAATAGGCTGTCTCCCACAAATGATTTTAAAAATCAAAATGCTTTGAATAGGCCCTCAAATGGTAACTATTTTAGTGTTTCCTATAGTTTTTACCTTTGGAAAAAGTAGCAAAATCAGTACTTCAGGCCATAGTAACCAAGCCAAGTGTCCACTTACAACTGTCTAGCACACACATCAGCCATAAGTAGAGCAATGGTTCTCAAATCGTTGTCTCTATTTGTGACATCTCCATCACCTGGGAACTTGTTTAAAATCTGTTATCAGGACCTAGCCCAAACCTAGCAAACTGGTAATTCTGAGGGCGTCCTAGCAATTTTAATGCATGCTAACATTTTGAGAACAGTTTTAAAGGAAAACAGTTTACACACCACTAGAAGTGATTCTAAGAATCTTGCCGTTAACTCCTTACAACCATGGAATGTCATCAGAATGGACTACTTTAAACTCAGGCAAATCAACAATCTGCTCTGGGTGCTCTGTCAGGGCCTAATACAATCCTCGTAACTCTTGAATACCTTAACTTTCAGCTACACCAAACCACCATATAATGGAGGGCAACCAACAGTGTACCCAGAGCTGCTTCTATCCTAGTGCAAGTTTTTTCTTTTTAAGAGACAGGGTCTTGCTCTTGTCACCTAGGCTGGAGTGCAGTGGCATGATTATAGCTCACTGCAGCCTCAAACTCCTGGGCTCAAGTGATCCTTGTGCCTTAGCCTCCCTACTGAGTAGCTGGGACTACAGATGTGTACCACCACATCCAGCTAACTTAAATTTTTTGTAGAGATGGGATTCTCATTATGTTGCCCAGGCTAGTCTTGAACTCCTAGCCTCAAACAATTCTCTTGCCTCAGCCTCCCCAAGTGTTGGGATTACAGGCATAAGCCACTGTGCCCAGCCCCAAGTTACCTTAAATAGCTCTTATAGACTCCACCAAGCATGCTCTGCAATGTCCCTGCAGATTTCTATTACACAGCATGAGCTTTGTCACAATTTTTAAGTTGAAAAAAACCCACTGTGAATAAAGCTGAGCAAAAATATATATATAAGTATACTCTTCCTCTTTTATAACCTCAGTATCCACCACAATACTTAGTAGTTGACCATATCCTTTTCCAGTCCCCAGCACCCT